ACACTCTTGCTGGTGTCCAGGCCCGTCTGCACTGTCCCCTTGGCCACGTTCATGGCCCCCGTGAGTCCTGTGGTCACTGTGTCCTTGGTGCCCATGACCACAGACTTGGAGGTATCCAGGCCTCCCTGGACAAGACCTTTGGCCATACCTACTGCTCCCATGACGCCTCCGGACACTGCCTCCTTAGTGCCCACAAGGGCGGACTGGGTGACGCCCAGGCCACCCTGGACCATTCCTTTGGCTGTGTCCATGATGCCAGCCACCCCGGAGGATAAGGCATCTTTGCCACTGGTCACACTGAAGCCTCCCTCGTCCTTTTCTGCAGCTGTTGCCTAACGAGGAAGTGCACAGGTCATCACCTCATCAAAGTCCCTTAGGGTGACTCTGCTCTCCTTCCCCTTTGCACCCAGGTCCCTGGGACCTCCCACCTACCTTAGCCAAACACCCTAATGTCACCCAGCTGCAAGATAATGTCTGGGGACCCGCTAAAAAGACCCCAGCACTTATCTTAAGGAGGATTGTCACAAGTCAAGGGCTGCCTGACTACACTGTGAGACCCTGTCTCAACAACTGAAATGCAAGTTGACAGAGACCCCATCAGTGTCCACTGGACTTTGGCTTGTCTCACATTGTTGTCAAGGGCCCATGGGTCAGAGGTCACTGTTGTCACTTGGTTGTTCTTTGATACCGGTCTCATGTGACCCCAGAATTCACTATGTAGCTGAGGAGGACCTGCTGGGATGATGGAGATGTGCTGCCACTGAGTGGCCCAGGGACTCGGAGCATCCCTGGAGACACTGTAGCTGTCCCAACAGGGGAGGGTGGAGGCCCAGCCCAGTGTGTGTCCCACAGTGTCGCCCAGTTAGCCCAGTGGTCACCTCACTTCTGCAGTGGCCTGGGCTTGACTCCCCAGCTCTTCCCTGCACGTGTGTGATATCAGGCACCAATGGTGTCTCCCCTCCCCTCAAGCCTGCAGCCCCTTAGAAGACACACTCCTCCCTGCTGGGGCTGGCGCTACAGCCCACGGTGGAGCTCACACCTGTCAACCCAGAATGGGGAGGCGCTCAAGGGCAGACTCAGCTACAGAATAAGGCAGGCCAGCCTGGGCTACATGAGACCTTGTTTCAGATACAAAAACTCACTTCCTTCAAGGTCAGAACAGTGAAAGAAAGGATCTCAGTGGGTGCTGAGTTGTTGCCAACATAGAGGGACTGGCGGGCCTTGGCGCCAGGGGCGTGTTCTGATTTGAATCTACAGGGTGTAGCCCGCCATCGCTGGCCCAGGTGGTGCTTAAGGCAGCCACGGAAGTGGGGTTGGGGTCTTCTACCTCAGTTTCTCTGCACCTGCCATGTGGTGTTGTGGGCCCCCGTCTCCCCGGGGGCCAGGGAGGGCTAACATTTAAGTAGGACTGTTAAGTTTGTGCTCATTTCTCAGATGTAGAAACTGAGGCCCAGGGTGGAGAAGTACTAGGGGCCCCACCTTCTCTTTGTCCTTTGAATCCCCACCCCATGGAAGGAACTAGAACCTTCCAGACCTTCCTGTCCAGGGACTTCCCACCTGGCTCACCTGTTCAGAAGGCTGGAGCAGCCCCGCCGCACCTCTTGCCATCCGCTGCAGGTCGGTGGCCCCTGCAGAGAGAGCCAGGCTGGGGAGTGAGGGGCAGGCCTCCAGCTGGAGCCTGTCACTCGTGTGCAATTCCAGGCCTGGCCCCAAAGGACAGGAATGTCCTAGCCGCAGGCCGGGGACAGCAGGCGGTGGCATCTAGAGGCAGGAGCCAGGCCCAGCCTCCCCCCACCTCTGCCAACGGTGGCTCTGGCCCCTGTGACGCAGGGCTCTGGGAGGACTTTCTGTGCCACACTCTGGGTGCTGGACACCCACCCTGTACCCTTGGGGCCCACGGAGCCTGCAGTGGGCTAGTGTTGTCTTGCTGCCTGCGCCATGGCCCCCAGTGGTCTGTCACAGGTGTGTGGCCTTCAAGGCAGTTAGTGGCCTGCTGCAGGCACCCCAGCTGAGTCCCAGGATGCTGTGTGACTCTAGGACAGCTGCTGGCCCTCTCTGAGTCTTTATCCTTGACACAGTCAGACAAGCACAACACCCAGCCTGGTATGTGGTGCAGAGTGGAGGGGCCATGGCAGGGTTTAAACACCGCCTTCCCTGGGCTGTGTTGCCCAGTATCTGTGCCTCAGTTTCCCCGTCGAATGAGATAACACAGACACAAGATCACCGGGATTGCTGCAGGTCCCTCCTGGGCAGTCTGCATAGTTACTCGGTCCCCACCACCTCCGCTGTGCCACTCACCCAGAGATGGGGGAACGGAAGTCCCTGTGGGGTCTGTGGCCGGTCCTGCGTCCTTTGGGGAGCTGTGAGTGTGGGACACCAGGTTCCGGGCAGAGCTGAAGCCAGGCAGGGACCCGAAGAAACTGCTCAGGCTCTGCGTGGGGTGGGTGGGGGTGGCATGAGTGGACACTGGAGTCGCCTTCCCAGGTCCCCGGCGGGATGGCTCTCCGTTCTCTTACCTTGCCTTTGGATTTGGGGTGACCCCTGGCCTCGTCTCCCGAAGCTGACATGACAGCGGCCTGTGGGACTGGAGGGGAGCAGAAAGTACCACATGGTGGGGGGCCCTCCTGTCTCGTCCCTATTCCGGGCCCCACAGGCACCCCCCTTCACCCACCTGGAGGCAGCGGTCGCTGGGTGACAGCTGGAATCACCTGGACCGTGCAAGGTCCTTCAGAGCAGGGCAGCTGCTGGCAGTGCCTCAGCTTCTGCTTCCCAGGCCTTATAGGGCCTGGGGAGGTGCAGGCTCGGCCGGCCCAGGCAGGCCGCCAGAGAGCTGGAGGGGGGGTGGTGTCACGTGCCTATCTGCCTGGGCCAGTGTGGACCCAACCCAGCACCTTTCCCCTGCTCTCCACCTCGGCCCAAGCTGCCTCTGCCCACAGTGCCTGCCTGCAGGCCCAGTGAGTCATGGCCAGCTGGGCTCCCTGAGGGACCTGCTCTCTGCCTCTACTTTCTGAGGTGGGGACGCCTGACCAAGCACCACCTTTGGGTCTCAGTTTCCCCTTCCAGATTCATCGGTGGGCTTCTTTGCCTCCCTCCTACTCCTCTGCTCCTGGCTCCCTGGCTCCCTGGCTCATCACGGGGCCCTCCTCTAACACGTGGGACCCTTGCTTGCTCCAGGGCCTTTGCATAGGCCACGCCCCTGCCTGCTACACCTTCCTCTAGATTCCTGCACAGCCTCAGCTGTCAGCCTGTTTATATCCCGCGCCAGGACAATGCCTGGCATACATCAAACACTTAGGAAACATTTGTCTAAATGGGGACAGCTCAAGGTGCATATGAGTTTAAAATGAGGTCATATGTGATCAGTAGTCAACAAATACTACCTTAGCATTACCTGGGAAGAAACAGGGTCTCCAAGAGTGCTTCCTGGTGAGGGCAGTGACACGTCCCTCTACTGAAAGGACTTGGCTGAAATGTAGAGCAGGAGGACCATGGGGGTGAGAGCCCAACCGTGGTGGGCCCGACCTAACCAGTGTGTTAGGTCAGAGGAGGATCGTGGGCCTCAGGTCCTGAACTCACTGTCTGCCAAGTGGGCCGTCGGTGGGCTGCTGGACAGAGTGACTGCCACTCCCACCCTGGGCCCTGTCCCAGACTTGTACCCCAGGAACAGGGATCCCGACCTTAATGATGGGGCAATTAACTCTGGTGCTGAGGAAGGGGTTCGGGGTGGGGGGCTGGCACCCCTGAGCCATTTCCTTGGAGTCTTGGTTGTGTTGGGAGACAGTTTTGAAACAAAAGTGGGTACTCTTGCCGGCCGGTGGTGGCGCACACCTTTAATCCCAGCACTCGGGAGGCAGGGGCAGGCGGATCTCTGTGAGTTCGAGCCTAGCCTGGTCTACATAGTGAATTCCAGGACAGCCACAACTACACACAGAAACCCTGTCTCGAAAAAACAAAACAAAAAAAGCATTGCAGCCAGGTCCCTCTTGTGCCACCAGCTAGCACCTGACTGCACCCCCCCACCCCCTCATACATAATCCACAAGGCTCCCTGGTGGAAGCAGCATTAGG